ATAGATTAAAATTAAGATATGATTTGATATTATTGAAGTTTTTCTTGTATAAAGATAATGATAAAAATTATCTTTTCATCTTCTAGAAAACATATGGACCATTTATCCCTCATGCATGGTGTTTCTGTCTGTTTTAAGGCTAATACCTTAAATAATGGCCCTTTTAAAAGCATAAGTTCCTATTAACTAATTTCTTTAGAGAATAGAAAATAATGCATGAATTTAACTTTCATTTTCAGCACTTTGTGTTTGGATATGAGCATAGAAGAGTGTAGCATACAATAACCCACTCTGAAATTCACCTTATCTAGCACTCTTCAATTAGGACCCTATCTCATGCTGAAGTTGCTTCAACTTTAACAATGGATTATGGTAGTTACTCTCTAAAAGGCCCTGTGTTATCACTGTCCAGTAGATTTGAGCCTGGATACATGTTCATGTTAAATACAATTTCAAAATATAAAGATTTATTTGCCATTTATTGTTACCTCTGCATAGTGGTTTATTAGGTTTCTTTGCTGCTGTTGTTCTTTTTATTGTTCTTAATTTTTATTCTGTAGGGGATATATATTTTATGGTAAACTATATTTACCTCTAAATTATTTTTTTATCTACTAAATTGACCTGTGATTTTTCTTTCTTGCCTTACTCCATATTGTCACCCAACTCTTTACAAATCCTAAACACACACAGACATTCCCTTGGTATTCTTAAGTGACTTCTGTGTGACAGCTGTGAGACAGACGTGAAACTAAAGTGGTTTGGTTAAATTATTATTAGTCACCAGGCCTACTGTAAATTAGAAAAATTAAGTCAACTCTAAATTATCCTTGGTACTGGTAGATAAGGGGAATCATGAGTAAATAAAAACCATAGTCATCAAAGTTGATATAAAATAATTCATGTCCTTATAAAGTAATTTGCATTAATGCCAGATATTTTTCTTTTTCTGGCCTTCTGAGAAACCAGTGTGAAAATAATTGTCTCACTGAAGTAGGTAATAAATAAAGAGTAGAAAATAGGAGTTCTGCATTGGATTTGGTTAGTGGTGTTTATTTTAAAGGCCTTGGAGATCAAGTAACGAAATCAGAGTGGTATGC